GACAACAAGAACTCACAAAGAGACAATGTTTCATAAGTGTTATAAGCACTGGATATAAATTGTATTTTTATCTATTCTGATTAATGTGAAGCTGTTTTGAGGAAAAACAACACGAATGAACAAAATTCCCCAGTTGGACTCACGTGGGTTTGCTCTCACAGTTACCAGATTTGAGTCTTTTTTTTTCTTCTTTTTTTTGTCTGCTTGTTTTGTTTATTTATGCAAAGACACATGTGATGAATGGACACTTTGTTTAATCTTCAGGGCTGCCTAGAGGACAGACTCAGCACAAGAAAAGTGAGCAGGAAATTCAACAGCAGGCTCAGTGAGCCATGAAAAACCAGACTTCAGTGCATTGTATATTGCACGACATATTTATTGTTTGCCACAGCTGGCTCTAAAATTTTGAGTTAAAGACATCATGGACAATCAGATGAATAAAAAAAAAAAAGAACAAACAATTTAATGAATTGGAGCTAAACATAGTTTTCAGTTAATTCTCCATCTCATTAAGATTTAATTGTAAATACAACATAGGAAATATATTTTTGTTCATTAGTGAAGTATAAGTTATGTATTTGGCTGTTTTATTTTTTTTTGTAGTATGTGGTTTCATGTTTTTAAAACCTGACAAGTCACTGTACCTCATGTAGATGCTTATTTTTTTCCTGCTTATTAGAAGAGAGCAGCACTGGTCCTGAGACAAAAAGACGAACCTCACTCGCTTATGTTTTCATGATGCTCCCCAGACAATTTGAATAATCAACGAAAGCTAAACTTGGTAACAAGTATGGTACTTATTCAGACAACAAGCACTTAAAAGAATTATTAAATCGTGTGTTTCCAATCATCATAGAACTTAAACGGTATGCTGTATAATGCTCACTTGTGCTTTGTGTTTAGAATAGCACTCATAGTATGTGGCACTTTTTTTAATGAGTGCAAAATCTGAAAAAAAAAAGTCTGCATGCATTTGGCTTGCATTGACATTAATGTAACAAACAAATGTTTTTATGAATGACTGCTTCAAACACAAATGATTTTTTTATTGTTTTAAATGTGGGAGCGTGCAAGTATTTATTTCAATTTATTTCAATGTGGCAAAATTCACAGATTGTGCATTCTTCTCAGTTAATTCTCTACTTGCCATCTTTTTGTATGTTGCCAATTTTTAATGAACATGTCCATGACTATCCAGCCATCCCGAAAACGTAGCCCTCACAATTAGTTTCTTTTCTTCCAATTGCTAGACTCACAAATGGTTTCAACATTACTTACTGTAATTTGATTTTTTTTTTTTTTCCGTCTGAAATTTGTGATGTGTATATGGTGGGAATGTTCTCTGTGTTAATTTAATCAGCACAATTCACTGACATGCTGGACTGACATGGTAGCTGCTGTTCAGAAGTGTAAACTTTTTTTGTTCAGGATGACATTTATAGCCGTCTTTGGTACTTTGCTTTTTAGCGTTGTTTCTCAAGCAACACTGTGTGGGGCTCTTCTATCACTGGAGCCACTGTTTTGAAATTGCTGGCAGCCTGATACAATTTTCCGCCTAGAAATCTCTTATCCCCCCCCCCTCCTCTGGCAGGTACCTAGGCCCATGGAAAGTATTGTTTTGGCTGTTATTAGAGAAATGAATTAAATAGTGTCTGTTGCTGCTTTAAAAAAGTTTATGTCGGAATATGTAAATAGTTTATCATAATATCTTGTACAGTCCAATGTAAAGTTTTTAATTCAACTTAAAAAAAAATGTTGCCATCACGTTTGTGTTCACATTGTTCTTTATACAGTACAAAAGGTCAATTATTTGCTAGGGATATTATTGCTAAAAAGAAAAAAAAATTAAAATGTTACTTAGTTGTTTTTTTATTTTATATTTGTTTTGTTTTGCTTGGCTTCAAAGTGTACATCAGCAAGTCTTTGGTTTCCATGTGCAGTATTGACGTGAGGTAAACTTAAGGTGAATAATTTTACATTGGTGTGTGTGTGGAAAGCAATTTCTTTGGCTTTGGTAGTATTAATACACTATATCAAGTAAAAACAAACCGATGATGGACACACTGGGTGCATCTAGGCACCTTAAGAATGTGTATACTGTATATGATTAAATTGTCCCCACAGGATCAATTCAGACATATTGTAACACCATATTTCTGTAATATCTCTGTCCATTGTAACAATGCAGCAGTGGGCTCAATAACTGCCTGTTTTAGCTCATTTACCTCAAGAAGTTCCTCCTTTTCTGTAAAAGAGACAGAAATTGTGTTACAAAAAGCTCACATCACTCCATCTTTTGTACTGCTGTTGACACTTACAAATTAAAGAGACATTTTGTTTTAAGATTTGTGTAATCATTTGTATTGTCGAGGCGTTTGTTACATTCTTTAAGTCTGCAATGTAAGAAAACCGAGGGCTGGGGAACAGTTGGCTGATGTCGTTTTACACCGTTGGCATGAATCTCTTTTTTGGGGGGGTAGAATCGCTGTCTTCAACTGATAAGTCAATTTTGATGCTCAAGTAATCAAACTGAAGA